AAAATGGTCAAATTGTGGCTGTGATTGAGCATCATAACAAAACTGTGGTGTGTTAGAAGTAGACACTGAACTAAACTCGAGCCAAAATGTAGATCCAAAACCTAAATGACTTCAAAACTCCAATGGTACAAATGGATTTGAATTGGTCAGAGAGTTGTGGAATAAACTGGGGTCGTTGGGATTTTGTTCCGCTGTTAGCATGAGCTCATCCTCCCCTCTAAGTGTTTTTTTCTTTCACTAACGGCAGAGGATGAAGCCAGAGGATTTTGGACTTCAGCCCAGCATGTAAATGTATCTGCCATTTCCAAACAATTTCCATCAGGAGCCATTCAGACTGTGTAACAGGATAATTTGACAGCAGCCCAGTAGGAAAGTGGCCAGCGAGGCAGTAATGTTTGATTTATTTCACATTTTTGTCCTCTACAGTTTGCTGTAGCCTCACAAAGGCCACAGCTGGATATGAGAGGTGGTTATAAATAAAAGATCATCAAGTCAGTGATAAATGGATGGATGGATGGATGATGGATGGATGGATGGATGGATGGATGACGGATGGATGGATGGAGGATGGATGGATGGATAGATGGATGGATGGATGGATGGATGGATGGATGGATAGATGGATGGATGGATGGATGGATGGATGGATGGATGGATGGATATGGATGGATGGGTGGATGGATGGATGGATGGGTTGATGGATGGATGGATGATGGATGGATGGATGGATGATGGATGGATGGATGGATGGCTGGATGGATGGATGGGTGGGTGGGTGGGTGGAAGGATGGATGGGTGGGGTGGTGGATTATGAATGGATATGGATGATGGCTGGCTGGCTGGCTGGGTGGGTGCTGGTGGATGGATGGCTCGCTGGCTAGTGGCTGCTGGCTAGCTGGATGGGTGCTGGGTGGCTGGGTGGCTGGGGGCTTGCTGGCTGCTGGCTGGCTGGCTGGCTGGCTGCTGGATGGCTGGCTGGCTGGCTGGCTGGCTGGCTCGCTTGGCTGGCTGGCTGGCTGGCTGGATGGATGGATGGATGGGTGGATGGGTGGATGGAAGGATGGATGGACGGACGGACGGACGGACGGACGGACGGACGGACGGATGGATGGATGGATAGATGGATGGATGGATGGATGAGAGATCCACCATCATTACAAAAGGATTGCTCAATGAACAGATGAATATCACAATTTTACGACAAGAAGAAAACGGTAAATCAATTATTAATACAAGATACAACTACTTTAAGAAATAAAGTATACTGTAAGTGAATGACTTAACAAATGAATCAATGAATGTTCAATTCACAAAATACTGAACTGAACCAGTACTGAGCATGTTCCCTCTCTTTATGTTTGTTCACGAGGTCGTCAGGGCCAAATCCTGTCCTTGTGACAGAAAGAAAAAGGTAAAAACCAAAAGGCAGGAAGGTCTTTCTACCCCTCAGTCTGAAAACTACTATTTTTTGGTTTTCTTTACTTTCTTTCACTCTACTTTCCATTTCCTATTAATTCACAAGGCTCGAAAGTAATCGAAGAAATGACCCTGGGCGACCATATTTGGACTTGGACTTGGTTTTATCGCCCCTATTGGGCAACCCCTGATAACCTCGGTAAAATACTGGTGTTCATCTTCAAAATACAAATAATGAAGAATGTATTTGAACTTCAAATTGAGTGGACCTAGTTTGAAATACTATTGCTATCCTGTTAACATACTTGGAGTAGACCCTTAACCCCCTCTTAATTCAAAATCAGTAGTCATATTGAAACGAAGTATGATAAAAATGTATCCTACACTTCTTCTTGTTTACAGTTTTTTGCGGCAGATAACTTGCAGCCAAAGACCACACTGTTAAATCTGTCAAACTGGGCAAGAGAAGGCAAAAACACTCTGACACGTGAGTCTCTTTATCGGGACGTCGTGATGCTTCCCAGATGCTGCGTTGGTTGTCTTCCACTATGGCACACTACACCATTACCTCCACTGACACTCGATTCTATTCCCAACGTCTGTCGCCTTGGCTCATCGTCATGAAGTCTAACACACATCATACTTTAATAAATCAACAGACAGATCTCTACTGAATCCATACTACTTCATCATTTCATCTGGCATCATGATGAGTTCCCTAATACAACAACTATTCTAATGATAAACTGTTGAAAGAAGTCTTCATTATGGTGACATCACCCATTGGCTGTTTTGAAGCCTTTGGCATTTCTGCCGTCGCCATCTTGCTTTTTTTTCAGAAGCACAAATGACCATGTATATAGAGAACTGGATGCAGCGTTGGAGGCGGAGCCACGTTCCTTGATATGAAAGTTGCTCAATGGCGCATGAAGACAAAATGGCCTCAATAATAAAAATACTCTGATCTGCCGGGACCCGGGTCCAAGGAGCGGTTTCCTTAAGCCCCGCCTTCTATCTGCTCCGTCACGTCTGGTTTCCACTCAGTCAAATGAAGGGAGAGGGAAAGTAACTCTGGATTCTGGACTTTAAGGACCTAATGATTTAATTAAAGTCTATAATATTTTTACTGGATAGTTGCTAAACCTAAACAAATATGATACGCCACTTTACAGAGGTCTTTGTCCCAATCAAAGTCAGAAATTGGAAAAAGTTTGGGCCCAATGACGTCCCATGACTGACACAGAAGTATCAGTACCGCTGTTTGGCTACTACGTACATTTGCTTCAACGCCTGTCTAACTTCCGTGGGCTAAAAAGTGACAGAAGAGGGTGGAGCTCAGTAAAGAAAGTAGATTACAATTAGCGCCAATGGTATGAAATGGGATACACTTCCTGTCTCCTAAATGGCCTTGGTTTTTTGTATTTAGATTTTACTCATCTGACATTACATGTTTAAATAGATAACACATGTTTAAGATATAAATGACCTACATGAATGTTAGTTGATATTTGCTAAAAATGTTTAAACAGTTTGACTTATGCTCTTTTTGCAAGATCTTGTGAGAGGGTTGGAGACGGACAAGTGCAGATTCACGTAAAATATGCACTTTTGAAACAAGGGCCCAATATTTGGTGACCCTGATGCAAGACACAGTACACATACTAGTACGTTTTATAAAGTAGTTCATTCATAACATCAAAAGTGTAATTCTTTTGAAAAGTTTTGTTGCAACAATGAAAGGCGTTCACCTGTAAAATCAAAAATCTTTATATCTGAATTATTGCGCATTTTAACAATATCCTAATTCTAATCTAATTCCCCTGATGTGAAACCTTCGACCTCACTACTGGAAATGTAACAGCTTTCATTCATTAACCATAATCTGTAACATGATTTTATCACATCTTTGATTTTGTATGAGCACGAAAACCGCTTCTTTGATAAGCTTTAATTCATAGATGTTCAATACCAAAACAAAAATGAATGAATATCATCAGAACGAGTCCAACAGCCTGTGCTCATATGTGATTTTTCATTTCAAAAACTAGAAGGAGGTCATCAAATTACAGCGAGCACATCCAGCCTCTCTGTTTAATATTCCATCGGCAGAATCAAACGCCAACATCTGTATTTCCTCCTAATTATCAACGTGCATCTTCTCGTGGATGCATATGGTCCGTGAGCGGGAAGATTACAGTGCTTTCCTAAACCCAGCCATTACCCAAGTCCACAACACCTGGCTCCACCACCGACGATAAATATTCCTTTAAAAATAATTATACTTGAAGTTAAAATGAGTAATTATTTGTTTTATGAAGTTGGGGAAATGTAGTAAAGTTGAGAATCTCTAAGGAAAACATAAAAATATAAAAAAAACATGCAACAGATGTTGTTTTTAGTAGATGTGAGGATGATTGACACATAGGAAGCTAGATAATAAAACAACCAAATCACCTGTTGTGCTGCTACCTGCATGATTTAAACACAGCGGAGAAGTTGCAGGGAACAATAAGTCAAAGACTACTTTAAAACTGCATTGATCAACTTTTCATATCAACAAAAGAGAAAACGCCTAATAAAATGAATGGGATGTTTTGACACATACTCACAAATAATGGCCAATAACATTTAAATAATAACATAATTAACTTCAGAATCATCTCATCAACACAGCCCAGTCAGTTATACTTAAGGTGTTGCTGAAATATTGACCCTAAATCTATAAACTGCACATAAACTTGACTTAAATGGGAGGAAAATGTGCCTAATGAATGTGGAAGTTGGCGTCATTTTGCTTACATATTATCCATTTTTGTGAGATGGTTATTAACTAATAGAGTAAAATGAATAGTAATAGATGCAGTGAATCCCTTACTTTAAAAACAACATCATTCACTACCACTGACCTCAGATCAACTCCAAACAGGGTTGCTCTCCTGTGTATGTTCACAGCTTTATCAAATAAAGCTCTAATGCTGAGCGACAGGCTTTAACCCTGTAAGGCCCCCAGTTGTTATTTTACAACATCACTTTAAAGGTGGGGTATGTAAGTTTGAGATAATATAATAATGGATTTTTTGTCAAAGCACTTAAGATATTCATTGCTATCGGGATGTTAAGAGCATTCCATGGAATATAACAAAAAGTGTATCTCGAGCCGGTTTCTCAAACTTACCTACCCCACCTTTAAACTATCCTAAAAAAGTCAGTAAATGTTTCGTTTTTTTAAAGACTACATTTACATAGTCCAAAGGTCCTTTTGTCCAGCCTCACAATGCTATTGGGTAGTAAATGTGACTGATGTGTGATTATTATTCATGCTATATACTGATATAGGGCAAAGTAAGCAATCAATCCTGCAAATTAACCCTTAGTTGTTCAATATATTTATTCAGACGATGTGAGTAGAAATACAGAAATTCTGCTCCTAAGGCCAACGTTGCAATATTACAATATTTCCCTAAAAACTTACAAAAACGTAAACAATTTGAAAACTCTTTCATTTCTGCACCAGAGGCTTCCTACAAAAACATCTGAAAGGTCAAACATTTTTTATAAAAGAAGACAGTCAGAGTGTTACTGACCTGGTGGCAGTGTGGGTTGGACTCTCTGCCGTACGAGTACGAACTCCTCTCTGATTTCCCTCCTGAGGACGACAAGAGAAGAGAGGGAGCAGTTAGCAATCTGCGTCATTTCAACAACGATCCATATCTTTACTGAAAACAACAAGAGTCAAACACTCAGTATTTAATCTGTGAAGCCAATGAAATTAAATGTAAATGTTAGGGTTAGCAGAGTTAGCGGTCACGGCACGTCCACACAGCGGCGTGCGTTGAAGCTTGCCGGCGGGCGTGTCTGAAACTCGACCAACAACCAATCACATGAATCTCCCGCCCCTGACACACAAGCAGCGGTTTGATTGGCTGGAGCTTGTACTGGCATATGATTCGATTGGCTGACGCTTCTGCCGAGGCTTCAAAAGTTGAACATTGCTCAACTTTTGCAGCGAGCCACGCCAGCAAAGCTCCGCTTCGCTTCCCACAATGCAGTTCGGCGGAAAGTGACGTCACCCCATTCAAAGTGAATGGTGAAGCTTTCAACGCACGCCGCTGTGTGGACGGGCCGTTAGAGTTAGGGTGACAGGCCTTAAAAATGTTAAGTTCATAAAAAGAAGCAGCAAAATAAATAATAAATTGAGTAATACAAAAAACATGACAATGGAGTGTTTTAATATTGAATAATGAATAGATTTCCAGTTAACAAATACACATTCCCTCCCAGGAAAAATACAACAAAAACATGATTTTCACTTTTATTATTATTATTATTATTATTATTATTATTATTATTATTATTATTATTATTATTATTATTATTATTATTATTATTCATGGTGATAGATAGAACAGAAACATATTCATAGCAAATGTAAATTTCAATCTTTATTTAGCATTACCGATTTCAGTCATGGAGCAGATTTACACGTATACAATACTTTATTCAAATACATAATTCAATTCATCCTTCACCTTTCAGATCGTTTCCTGCTTTAATGACTTATTATTCATTTTCAAATTATCATTCATTTTCACTTTGTTCACCACGGTAAGAGATGTTCAGTAGCATACAGCCAAAGCCATGTTTTATGATCACAGTTTTCAAAGTGTGTTCTCTGCTCTCTGCTCTCAAAGCACAACAAACCAGACATCTGCTGGGCCTGCAATGCACAGGAAACTCTTTATGCTACAAGCAACATTCACACAGCACCTTCTTTTAGGTGTAGATTAGCTCTCTTTACATGTAGAGCAAAAACAAAGTAATTACGAGACAATATATACAGAGTTTAGGTGGCAATTAGTAACATCTACGAACCAAGAGAAGTTATTGTGTCTCAGATCACTGTAGAAGTTCTGTAATCCTTTTGAAATGTTAAATGGCAGAACATCCCTCATTACCTGAATACATCCCTGCTCTATCAACCGTTTGAAGGTTTGCCAATTATGCTACTGTACTGTTCATCCTCATTGTCTTCAATGTTGGTCAATTGAGACTCAAGAAGTGTACGGTACTCAAAACGACATATTTTCTCAATCATCACGATCTTCACTGGATATCCAATATGGTCAAAGAACAGTTTTCCATTACCAACATGTGCCACCATGGTCTTATACACTGATCCCAGACCAGAGGTACATGAACCCCAAGAGGTAGAAAGGGTTGGAAATAAGCAAAAGTCAACATTTATCACTGCCCTTACAACCATTTCTATAATAATTACAATTACCGGAAAGCAGATCACTGCCTCCGCTGTCTGAAGTGTCATCACCTCATAGTTTTGCTAGGATTTTGTGTCATAATAAGTGTATGAAAAAGGGTAAAGAAAACTTGTTTTGTTAGATCACAGTGACATTTTTTCATATTTCAAGGTGGACATTTGTGCCAAAGTTGTGAAGGGGTTCTTGAAAAATTGGGTTTACGAAAATGGGAAAGATGACCTTGACCTCAGACATGATGCCACATTTAATTAATAGCTAAAACCTAGGTAACCTGTAAATACATTCAATTATTTGAGGAAAATGTTCCAGTTCTAAATCCTTCTAATTTAGTCTGTTTTCAGGCTATTCATTTTGGAGGTTAATGTATTTGTAATATTTGTGTCGTAAGCCCTAATATATATCTGATTTGAAAGTTATGGGCACGAGAAAAAAGAGCGCAGACATCCTCACCTACCCTACTGTATTAACCAAATGTCTTTGTTCCTTCGTGTTTAACCATGATTGAAATCTGACTCCAGATCTGCTAACAGTAGTCCAAGGACTGATCAGAAGATGACAGGGAGGCGAAGTGTCCTTGGCAGGTAACCGACCATCACTCCAATACACCAACCAAACAGTCTGGCTGTGAATAAGGTGTCTGATGAATTTCCGAAAACAGCAGTGGTCGCCTTAGCGTCGACAACAAAGCTCATTTCCTCATTTCTGAACAGCCTTTGCTTTCCTCCGAGCTGCGGGACCACTTGGGGACTATTTTTACCACACAGACATTCTTTTTGGATAAAACCTTAAATCTTCAGCCAGTCTAAATATCAAACCGCGGTTAGTGTGTAATTACATTCTGCGGTCGGTGCAGCCGTACGAGATGAAATGGAGGGTTTTGTAGCGAGCGTGTGTGAGGGAAATGAAGCGTGTACGCGGTGAAGGGTTTGAATCAGGCGTGTATAGACCGCCGCTGAATACACGCCAACATGGTAGTCGTTGCAAAAGAGGTTGATAATTACAGCCGTACAGAATGGGAATGTGGTCGAGTGTGTGTGTGTGTGTGTGTGTGTGTGTGTGTGTGTGTGTGTGTGTGTGTGTGTGTGTGACCGATACAGCGGCCTCGGCTTCAGCTAAGACTGATGCCAGCTGGACCGGTTTGGCAGATATACAAAGACTCCTACACACACACACACATACTGGAAGTCACTGGCACAGATATACACACACACACACACACACACACACACACACACACACACACGTAAATGTGCATAACATACATACAGTATATATAGCCCAGTATACAGACACACACATGCAAATATCATTTTGCATGGTACCTAAATATGACCATACACAGAATCACATGCACTTCAAAATTCACACACACACACACACACACACACACACACACACACACACACACACACACACACACACACACGTCTATTTAGATGTAACACTGCAGACACCTTGGACACAGTACCACAACCTGCAACAAAACATGCATATTATGAAAATATTTCAAGATGTTACCAGAAATATGATATTTAAGATAAATGGATCTATAATTCCCACGCCTACAACCTTTCCAAAAGGACAATAAAAACGTTTAAAATAATACTTTTTAAATCGTTTTTAAGGAATTTATACATTAAATAAATATAATTGTAAAACATTAAGGCATCTGGTCATTTAATGTGTATCTTTTACAAGGCTGACACATTTATTCTGTGCTATTAGTGGTATTATACATTATTGGCAATTATTAAATTGAAATTTCAACAAAGCACTTAGTATGTAAATTGCATAAAATGATAGGGTCGGATTTACCATTAATTCACTGATTGTTCTTTATAACCTTTTTTTACTGGAAAAGGGCATCAGCAAATATTTATTTAGTTAATTCATTATTTTATCCATCCATTCATTAACTAATTCACTCATTAACACACTTACCTCTTAAAATACCTTCAAGGTCTTTAAACACACACCCACACACACACACACACACACACACACACACACACACACACACACACACACACACACCCACACACACACACACACACACACACACACACACACACACACACACACACACACACACACACACACACACACACACACACACACACACACACACTCACACACCATGTATTTGTTTCTTGTTCTGCCGCTGCCTGCTCTTCGTGTTTAGGCAACAATTATATGTTAACCTCGTTTGGGATTGTATTCCCTTGTGTTGAATTAAATAATTATTAGGATGTTATGTGTCTATAGTATTTAACTTTTTATCAATAAAAACAATGTGTTTGTTCCAGGATGACATCCATCGAAAAAAACTCCAATTGGTAGCTGGAAAGAAATTACCAGAATGCTAATTCTTGTTCAAATGACAGGATTTGGTGCATAAAACATACGTCATGTCACTGAATGCTGTTCATCATGTGATTTAGATTGAAACATATCAATGAGGATATCAATAACCTAAATTTAGAAGCTACTGATACTACAAAAAACCTATTCTGATTTGACGACATAACAGACCCCAGCTCTATATTTTCATTTGAACACGGCAACCTTTTCACCCCCGCTGTCTCAGCAGGCCGAGCACATGTTGAACACACAAACAAAAACCCTTGGTATTTTAATTTGGCCATTAAAGAGAATGCAGCAAAGAAAAAAAAGAAGCCAAGCAGGGGCAGAGCAATGCAGGATGGGAAGGGTCAGCCACAAAATCACACACACACACACACACACACACACACACACAACACACACACACACACACACACAACACACACACACACACAACACACACACACACACACACACACACACACACACACACCACACCCACACACACCATGTATGCATCACTTCAGGGGACATTACATTGACTTACATGCATTTCCTGGAGACTTATCCTAACCTTAACCATAACCAACACATGCCTAACCCTTACCCTAACCCTTACCCTTAACCTTACCCTAACCCTTACCCTTAACCTTACCCTTACCCTAACCCTAACCCTAACCCTAACCAAGTCTTCACCCAAAAATTAATGATGTCCCCATAAGGGAGGCGAGTCCCCACACGTGACTGTGTAAACAGATGTAGGTCCCCACAAGTATAGTAATGCTAGGCCACATACACACACACACACACACACACACACACACACACACACACACACACACACACACACACACACACACACTCACACACACACACACACACACCACACACACACACACTCATACGAGAGAGAACACATTTCGCAGGACGAAGGAATGACTTCTACTTCGATGGCAGATTCCGTCCAGAAAAATCTAAACAAATGTACAATTACAAAATACATTTCGCAGTCAAGCTGACACATCAC